CTTGTTAAAATAAAACATAGTGGATCCAGCTTCTGTCCTTAAGTGAGCCTCTCTCAGAGCGTCCCAAATTTCTCTGGCTGAGGTCTTATCACGCAATAGACAGAGCTCTTCTGGGGATACTATCAATGTAAGAGTTCCCTTGCTTTGGAATCCTTAGCTTCCCATGCATCTGTAACTGGAACTGGGGGTTCCTGTAATCACCTCAAACAAACCCTCTTTCCGCAGAATTGCCTCTGCATACTGAACCCAGTCGCTGTAATTTTTCTTGTTGAGCTTAGGAATCCCACAAGCATCCTGAAGGGCCATCATGACTCTGGCATTAGCCTTCAGCGTCATATGCTGCTTTAAATCTTGCTGCGTCACTGCTGCAGCTGCTTTATTACAAAGGCACACTTAAAAGTTACTTCGATTTCCAAGCATAGTGACTTGTGCCTGGGAGCCTTTTGCCTATTCCCGGCAAAACCGGCTTTAAAAGTTCAAAGTCCAGCCATAAAGCCATTATCTTGAAGCTGGCAGGCTGCCCGGAGCAGTAGCACATACCTCATCAATCACTTCTACGCGCAGAGCAGATTCCGTTCCGATCTGTCCCTCTGCATTCCGATCCTTTGCCGGCACTCCGATTCGACCTCTGGAGCCCATAACCACGTGTTGATTTAAGCAGAGTCTGGTTGCCCAGCGGAAGGATGAGGAATACGTGCTACATACTCTATATTGCTTTATTTACAGTTCAAAGCTGGTATATTACAGAAAGACATCTTGCCTCTGCAGGAGCAGAAAAATGCATCCTCTCTCCTCGACAGCTCGGAGAGAATCACACAGTGAAAAACAGGAAACCAGTGTACGTCACATCCAGTCTCCCTTTCCCGTGAGAAACTCCAACAGTACAGACTGTGGAATGTAAACACCTGTCTCGTGACAAGCAAAGCTGCACAGTGAAGGAAAGCAGAAACCAACACATAATTCCAAAGCATCAATTCTTCAGCGATCAGCCTTCTTTATGATCCAGCTCTCATTTCCATACATCATTACTGGGAAAACCATAACCAAATCACTTTTCTGGTGTGTCTAGATGCACCCAGCAATGTCTGTTCCATTAGGGACTGGGGGCGGGAAACATTTCTGAATTTCTCCAGGGGGACTGAGCAAGGTGAAAGAAAGGGGAATTCTGACCTCCAAATGAAAACTAGGGAAAAAACACTCATACCATTCACGTCTGCTTTCTTGGCACGGTTTTTGCTCGTGCTAAAAAGGGCACCAAAGAGTTCATCTGTAGCTATGATTCATTCACGTTAAGCGCCTGGAATTAATAAGCTGCCCACAAAAGTAGGTGGCATCCTACAGTTGGCCAGTGGCTCGGTTTTCCTCCTGTGCTAAAATAATCGCCTTCGTGGCATGCAAACTCCTAGACTTAACATTTTTGGAAGTGGATACTTGCTTCTCTCGCTCTTTTTCCTCCGCTTTGGTTTTAATTATTGGCTTTCGTAAATGTAGCTTGCTGCTTCTTCCACGTCCCCAACCAACCCCTCCCCCTCATTTCCCATCGTTCCGTGAAGCCAGGAAGTTGGATGGTTGCCTCTGCAGAAAGGCGTTTTTATGACTAAACCACTTCAATAGAAACTCTAGGATCCAACCGAATGGAAAGTCTCTGTGGGTCTGGCCCTGCACGGCGATGGATGTTGGGCAGGACGTTCAAAACCATCTCCATCCTCTGCCTGTGCAGATAGCTCTGTTAAATGGGCCTGATTTCAATGTCAGGATTCTCGGTAGTGGTCAGCCAAGAGGGCTTGCAGTTTGGAAGCAGCAGACCTGCTGCTCTGGGCTACAGGGGAAATGGGCAGGTGGACATAACAGTCTAACAGACATCGGTAAGTCCAAACCTGACCCAGAAGATTAGAGCCCTACCAGATCAGGGAGGTGGGGGGGAAATGTGCTACTTGGATACGTGGGGACTCACCTAAACCCTGGAAGGATGTCATGGTCCACAAAACCTTTCGAAATGAACAAGGGGCAGCAAAACACAGATCTGGAGGGAGCTTAATAGACAACCAAGTGGTCATTTTCTTAACTTACAACCAATAAGCCTAACCTAAGCTTTACCTTGCAACTGGTTTAAAAGGGTACTCCTGTTCCCACACCTTTTGGTTTTAACTAAGCATGTTTACTGAAGTGTAGGTGAATTCCCACGAGACAGGACAAAGTGATAACAACGAGAACCTTTACTGAACTAACAGAACTGGACAACGGGGCAAAGCAACTGCTTAAATACATTTCTGAAGGCCTGGGCCACTCCCACTCCCAACGTGATTGGCTGTCTGAACTTCCAAGCTGCGAATCATAACTCAGAGATTAAGGGCCAATGGCAGAGGCCCAAATCCTGAAATGTTCTGTGACTGGATATCATGTATCGAATCAGAACAAAGGAGCTCAGAATCCTTAGACCAGACTCAAGCGCAGGCAAACACAGACCACTGAATACATAACATTTATCATCCACTATCTCCTAAAGCAAACTTGGGTCTCCAACTTTTATTGGACTACAACTCCCATCATTCCTAGCTAGCAGGACCAGTGGTCAGGGATGATGGGAACTGTAGTCCAAAAACAGCTGGAAAACCAAGTTTGGGAAACTCTAAACTAGAAGATTAGGGGCTGTGCTCTTGGCAGGGCAAACAACAGTACTTCTAAAGGTAAAGGGGCCCCTGACCGTTAGGTCCAGTCACGGATGACTCGGGTTGTGGCGCTCATCACGCTTTACTGGCCAAGGAAGCCGGCATACAGCTTCTGGGTCATGTGGCCAGCATGACTAAGCCACTTCTGGTGAAACCAGAGCAGCGCACAGAAACGCCGTTTGCCTTCCCACCGGAGCAGTACCTATTTATCTTCTTGCACTTTGCACTTCAAACTGCTAGGTTGGCAGGAGCTGGGACCGAGCAATGGGAGCTCACCCCATCACGGGGATTCAAACCACTGACCTTCCAATCAGCAAGTCCTAGGCTCGTGGTTTAGACCACAGTGCCACCCGCGTCCCGCATGTACATACTTCTATGTACACCTAATTTTCAAATAGATTCTTGCTTGGCAAAGTAAACAAGAAGTAAACACTTTAGTAAAGGTAGGAAGAAACCCTGAAGATACTCTTCTGCAGCATTCAAAACTCCCATTGTTCTAGGCACATTTTGCGACAGGGAATTTCATTAGTGTGAGCAGTTTCTGAGCTCTGGGCACAGTACTGCTCCTAAGATTTCAGATTAAAACTGCACAGTGGAAGAAAAAGAGGACCTTTTTCTGACTCCTCACTTCCAGCTACTGTCTGTTGACTAGAGAAGAGACCCTCTTAAGAATATTACGGGGGTGGGCAGGGGAAGGAATAGACGATGTGAAAAATGAACATAATAGTTTAACTGTCGTTCATTCATTTTCAGCTTTGTATTCTTGTTATAAAAAAGCGCGTAGACATTTCGTTGTGGCGCCCATATCCTAGGTTTAAGCTGCCATTTAGTTCCTAGCTTTCATATCTCAGTTTCGAAAACTGCTCTGCCATACGCACAAACATTATTATCATGCTACATCATTTTATATAAAGTTACATTGGGAAATCCTGTAATCTTGCAAAATTGCCCACCCTTTCCACTACAGAAACCAAATGATGCTGAGAAGTTGTTCAGCAGAATCATATCTTAAGCCTGAATAGGTTTGTTCCTATGAAGACTGTGCATTAAAGGCTACGCCTTACCATTGCCAATTTTATTTACTGACAGTATGCCTAGACTCTGTGATCCTGTCTATTGCCTGCTTTACTACCAAATTTAAACCAATCATATGAAATTTAAGGAATCTGCCCAGCTTACAAGTTCAGTTAGTACCTTTTTACCCTGTCTCATACTTCCTTGAGCTGTGGCAAATGGGAAGATGCTAAGGGGTCTCCCTGAGTTCTTTGCAACAGAGAGAAAGAAAGAACCACAGACACAAAGGGTTAACAAGATCACAAACACATCTAACCTATGGCAAATCATTTAAAAGAATATAATATGAAAACTGCTTTGAGAAGGGTTTTGTTTTGTTTTTTACAATGAATAATTTTGTGAAATAAAATAAATGAACAAATGGAAATACTGAGAAAAACTAAAGCGTAGAATAATTTCTTTAAAATGTATATGGAGGAACAACCTTTACATGAATCCTTCCTGCGATAATAAACATGGATTCCCCCTTGGCTCCTTTCAGAGCAGAAATTTCAAGTGGTGAACTGTTCACCTGTATGGCAAGAACTGAAATATTCTGGCGGTTCCCTCACTGTGAGAAGCAAAGTTACAGGGAACCAGGCAGAGGGCCTTCTCGGTAGTGGCACCCTCCCTGTGGAACACCCTCCCATCAGATGTCAAGGAAATAAACAACTATCTGACTTTTAGAAGACATCTGAAGGCAGCCCTGTTCAGAGAAGTTTGTAATGTTTGATGTTTTATTGTATTTTTAATATTTTGCTGGAAGCCGCCCAGAGTGGCTAGGGAAACCCAGCCAGATGGGCAGAGTAAAACTATTATTGTTATTGTCATTTATACAACAAAGCACTCAAATGACCCAGGTTAGCTGAGAATGTGCACTGTCCATCTTGGCAGCAGTTCTCTGGGAATTCAGAAGGGGACATTTTCCAGCAAGCTACCTGGGATCTTTCAAGGTGGAGGCACCAGATGTTCCCCCATCAACCTCACTTCTTGTGAAGGCTATAGCAGTGTAGAATAAAACTCCCACCGGGAACGCTTTTGCTGAAGTCCTTATGACCACATTGCCCTAACTCTAGACCAAAGGAATAGAGGTACACTGGTAATCGTAGGAGAGATGTTACGACCAGTGAGTTTTGTGCGTGTCCTACAAGTATAGGTGAAATGAAGGAGGCAAGCACAGCAGCCTTGGCAACCCAAGGAGGGGTGACCCCATGACACCTCTAGCACATCACAATACCCTGGGGTAAGGTTGTATAAAGCTGCTGTCTTAAGCACTCGGTGGCAACATGGGAGGGGGTGCAGGTTAACATCTACCACACACAATGGGTTAAAGCCTCCGGTCCCAGTTTTAATATCTAAGTCCCGGTCAAACCCATCAGAGCTCTCCGCAGCACCCTGCACCATGTCGAAGAGTTCTGGAGGGGACAGGTGGCTAAGTGAGCTTGGCTACAAGCTGGGCCAAACACTGGGGGAGGGGAGCTATTCTAAGGTGAGAGTAGCCACCTCGGCCAAGTACAAGGGGCCCCTAGCCATCAAGGTGGTAGACCGACGCCGGGCACCCCCCGATTTCGTCCACAAGTTTCTCCCGCGAGAGCTGTCCATCTTACGAGCCATCCGCCACCCAAACATTGTACGGGTCTTTGAGTTCATCGAAGTCTGCAATGGGAAGCTCTACATCGTGATGGAAGCCGCTTCCACCGACCTGCTGCAGCTGGTGCAACAGCTGGGGAAGCTGCCCTGCGTCCCAGACGCCCGGGACATCTTCGTCCAGGTAGTGGCTGCTGTGCGCTACTTGCACGACCGGAACTTGGTTCACCGGGACCTCAAGTGCGAGAACGTGCTGCTCACCGCTGACGGGCGCCGAGCAAAGCTGACCGACTTTGGCTTTGGCAGGGAGTCCCGTGGCTATCCAGACTTGAGCACCACTTACTGCGGATCGGCTGCCTACGCCTCCCCTGAGGTACTGCTGGGCATCCCCTACGACCCCAAGAAATATGATGTGTGGAGCCTGGGGGTCGTCCTTTATGTGATGGTGACTGGCTGCATGCCCTTTGACGACACCCACATCCACAGCATGCCACGCCGACAGAAGAAGGGGGTGTTCTACCCAGACGGCCTGGGCCCGTTGCCCGAGGCCTGCAAAGCCCTCATCGCCCTACTGCTTCAGTTCAGCCCAGCCTCTCGGCCTGGAGTGGGGCAAGTGGCGAAAAACACCTGGCTGAAAGGAGCCCTCTTAAACAAAGACACTTCCAGATCGCTCAACACTAGGATCGATTAAGGCAGATGAAGCTGTGTGACGTGTTGGAGCTGCTGTAGGGAGGGAAAGAACAGATGCTTAAAGCGATATTGACAAAGGTGGAGCTACAGAGCGGTCTGGGGTCACGACTGGAGGGGGGCAGCGCTTATTATGCCACCTTCAGAGGTGCCAACGGAGAAAGCTTCTGGTGCGAGAAGATGGAGCCCAAGGAGATGGGATTCAAAGGCTTTCAAGGTAGAAGACCGGAGGAGGGGGCAGTAGAAACACTGGACGGATGGAACTTGCAGTACCCAAAACCGCACGCCAATGGGCAGCCACGCAGCCTGCAGCAGGAGAAAAGACCTGTGACCCTTGCCAAAAGACTTGGACTTCATCGCAGATCCAAAGCTGGCCAACGGGCAAGCGAGGGAACGAGACATACCACTGCACAGTGTCGTCTGAAGTCTATTCCAGAAATAAACCCTGAAGCTCCCACCTGGAGACCTCTCTGTACCTTTCAGTCCTTTTCTAAATGGGTTCCCTTCCTCTTTTTATTTATTTATATCTATATATATTGCAATAGCCTTCATCCCCCCGAACTTCTTCATTCCCAAAGGAAATGCACTGATTTGGGAATGTGGCACAATGTGCTGGAAAGCATGGTGGGCATGGATGGAGCAAAGTCCGGTTCAGATCTCACCTCACAGTGAGTGCCTGTGTCCAAGTCCCTTGAATTCCCACCTACCTCAAAAGGGTTCTTGTGAGATTGCAGTGTTGCTCTCACTTCTTTAAAGGAAGGTAAGATAAGAACATGGGACGCGGGTGACGCTGTGGATTAAACCACAGAGCCTAGGACTTGCCGATCAGAAGGTCGGCAGTTCGAATCCCAGCGACGGGGTGAGCTCCCGTTGCTCAGTCCCTGCTCCTGCCAACCTAGCAGTTCGAAAGCACGTCAAAGTGCAAGTAGATAAATAGATACCACTCTGGCGGGAAGCTAAACGGCGTTTCCGTGTGCTGCTCTGGTTTGCCAAAAGCGGCTTCGTCATGCTGGCCACATGACCCGGAAGCTGTACGCCGGCTCCCTCGGCCGATAAAGCGAGATGAGCGCCGCAACCCCAGAGTTGGCCACGACTGGACCTAATGGTCAGGGGTCCCTTTACCTTTACTTCAGGTAAGAACCCGGGATGGGTGAGGCTACAACTGACCTAGGGAGAAGTCCCTTTGAACTCAGTGGAGTCTGCTTCTGAGTAGACATGCACAGAAGTACACCGTAAATACCGTATTGGCCCGAATATAAGCCGCACCCGAATATAAGCCACACCTTTAAAATTGGAGTGGGGTGAGAAAAACAAGAAAAAATACCTAGATATAAGCAGCTCCATTCCTTGCTGCTCCTGGCTGCATACTGGGCGAGGGGGGGAGCCTCGCTGCGTTTCCCCTTCCTCGCTCTCTCCCTTCCTGGCCTTGGGGGAGAGGACGGGGGACTACGCATGGGGCAGGCGCTGCTTTTCCGCACTCCTGGCGCTGTTTGCCCCACGCTCCGGGCTGCATACCGTAAGGTCGCGAATATAAGCCGCACTTTAACTTTTCACAGTTGGAATTTGGGGGGAAAGTGAGGCTTATATTCAGGCCAATACGGTAAATCGCTAAGGCTATGCAACACCGTAGGCCAGGCTTCCTCAAATTCGGCCCTCCAGATGTTTTGAGACTACAATTCCCATGATCCCTGACCACTGGTCCTGCTAGCTAGGGATCATGGGAGTTGTGGTCCAAAACATCTGGTTGAGGAAGCCTGCCCTAGACCTTGTTCCAACAGGCTTTGGGGAACTGGCTGCTTTTAATGAAAGGGCTGATGCCATGCTGGGCTTTTGTGTTTGTGTGTGTGTGTGATTATCTGTGTATTTTAAACTATATGTATATGGTTTAAAACCTATACATGTTTAATTATTTTTTTAATGATTTTCCTTCCATGTTTTTAGCCATTCTCCCTTTTATCTGTAAGCTGCCTTGAGTCCTGCCAGGGGAAAAGGCGGAGTATAAATGAATAAACATGAAAGAGCGCCTCTCCCCATATAAACCGCCCTGGACTCTGCGTTCATCATCTGTCCGGAGGGCGGCAACACGAGAACGGGCCTTCTCTGTGGTGCCTCCCTGTTTGTGTGGTGCTCTTTTTCCCCAGGGAAATTCCCCACATGCCTTTAATTTTATATTTTTAGGCGCCAGGCGAAAACGTTACTCTTTAACCAAGCCTTTGGCTGGTAAATATTCTACAGCCTTTTAAATGTGTCTGGAGGGGTGGTGGTCATGTTTTGCTGTTTTCGTTTAATTGCTCACTTGCGCTTTACCTTGTATTTTATTCTGTGAGATCTTTTGACGAAGAGCGGTATATAAATCTAATAAATAAAATAAAATAAAATCCCGGTTTCTGATTTGATCCCAGAATGCCCCGCTTTTCCTTAGGACATCCCTATTTTCATGTTGGGGGGTATGGAGTTATGCAACCCTTGTGACAAAGAGATAAGTAACTACGCAACCTTTAGAAGACATCTGAAAGCAGCCCTGCATAGGATTTTTTTTTTTAAAAAAATGTTTAACATTTTATTATTATTTTTTATATTTGTTGGAAGCCACCAAGAGGTGACATCATAATAATAATAATAATAATAATAATAATAATAATAATAATATGGAAAAGGGACGTCCCTATTTTCACCGGATCAGTGTTGGAGGCTATGAGGGACAAACACTTTGAGTACTCAAGGAGGATTCTCGACCCATTTTATCAGACATTTTATCAAAACAAAACAAAGCACCTCATAGCAGCATATATAATTGTTGGACGCTTCCCAGAGCGGCTGGGGCAACCCAGTAAGACGTGTGAGGAATAAATAGTAAAATTATCATTATGGAATGGGACGCCCCTATTTTCATGGGAGAAATGTTGGGAGGGTAGGCTGTGTGTGTTCCCGGTGGTGGTATCACCCTTCAAAGATATTTTGCAGTCGGGGGGGGGGGGAATAAATAACCACACAAGAAAAGTTTGAACCGGTGCCAGTAGAATGTGTGGCCTGGGGAGTCCCGAGGGCCGAATAGTGAGGCTTAGAGGGCCACATTCAGACCCTAGGTCTGAGGTTTCCCCTAGGCTCTACCTTAACGGGTCTTGGGGACGCTCCTGATTGGCTGTCACCATGACAACTGTGGGCAGGTGCCCAATCAAAATGTCTGTTTCTGGGAGGGCGGGGGCAAAGCGATGGTTTTTTGATCCTCCCTGGAGGCGAGGAAACACCTGGAGGAAAGGTAAGAGGAAGCATTTAATGGACCAAATGAGTGAAAATTAGCACTCCTAGGTAAATTAGACCATATATTTAAAAACACATGACTCCCCCCCCCAAGAAGTGTGGGAACTGTCATTTGTTGAGGGTGATGGGAATTGTAGCTTGGCTGAGGGGGTATACTAAAGTTCCCAGGATTCCTTTGGGTAAAAGATGTGCTCTAAACCCAGCCAGGTGGGTGGGGTATAAAATTAATAATGATAATAATAATAGTAGTAGTAGTAGTAGTAGTAGTAGTTGCTGCTGCTGCTGCTGTTGTAGCAGCCTCAGTTTATACCAACCCATAAATAGGAAAGCGCAGAAAGATGAAAAATAAAATAAAATGTATTGTTTGGGTGCCGCATTTTTTTAAAAAAACAAAACCTGTGACAGTTTTAAACTTTGTGATATGCTTTGTAAGCCTATAAGTTGGAAAAAGTAGCCCATAAATATTAATATTAAAAAGGAACCCTACTTACTCCCCCCCCCACATTTTCTGTTTAAATAGACTGGCCCAGAATGGTCTTGTGTTCCCAAGAGAGAATTATCTCAGCACACTACTTAATATTTATAAAGGTACATTCCAAATCAAATCTGTTGCTGTTACAGTCAATGGCCAGCATTATATTTCTATTCCAGTGGCTCCTGAAAATTAGTGGGACTTGGGCTGCAATCCTGTACCCGCTTCCCTGGGATTATGTTCTGAGTAGACATGTATAGGGTGGCACTATTGATGTTGTAAGGAAGTCTTATTAAATTCTTTTCACACATTTCATTCTGTTGAAATATGTAGAGGCAGTCCAGGTTCTCACCCACTTTCGGTCCCAGTGCAAAAGAATGTGCAGTCGTTGATGTGTACAACCTCAGCTATTGCATACACCGTATACAGGAAGTACCGTACACTTTCTGAACGTTATGTGTGAATGCCAGTACAAGCGTATGGCTCAACTACTGTTTCAGAAATTGTACGCTCATGGCACGTAATGGTTGCTTGGTTGTTTTTTAAAAACGAAATTTATTCATTTGGTTTTTCAGATTGAATTTTTACTGTCACATATCCAACATACAACATAAAAACTAGATTCCAATTACTGTACCTTTCCGTGTATAAGACTAGGGGTTTTTTTACTTTAAAATAAGGTTAAAAATCTGGGGGCGTCTTATACAAGGATAGTGCATATGCCCATTTTCTACTTTGGGGTCCCCAAAAGTAGGGGTTGTCTTATACATGGGGGCATCTTATAAACGGAAAAATACGGTAGTATCTTGGACTTCCTTCCTCCCCTTTGTGGGTCCTACTGTTAATCATTTCCTCCTGCATCTTTTATAATAATCCAGATCTTTTATCTTTGCATTGTATCCAAAATTCACCATTAAACTACAAGTGATATTCCAATCCTACTAACGATTTTAACTGTTTACAATGGTCTTTAAGATAATAATAATAATAATAATAATAATAATAATAATAATAATAATTTATTATTTATACCCCGCCTATCTGGCTGGGTTTCCCCAGCCACTCTGGGCGGCTTCCAAAAGAATATTAAAATACTGTGATACATCAAACATTAAAAGCTTCCCTAAACAGGGCTGCCTTCAGATGTCTTCTAAAAGTCTGGTAGTTGTTATAAATTTCCCCGTTCCTTATTAAAATTTTGGTCTTCCTGATTTCTGATTCTTCCGGTCATTTTAGCCATTTTAGCATAGTCCATCAACGTCATCTGCCATTCTTCTGTGGTAGCGACTTTATCTTCTGGGCCGGTAACATCCATGCAAAACTGTTTGCTTGTTCTTATGAGAAGTTGTATTACCTAGGGCTGCCATACGTCTGGAATTTTCTGGGCGTAGCTGGGATTCGTCCGCCGAAAATGACAAAGCGGCTAAAATGTCTGGGGAAACCTGTGTGTATGGCAGTCCATATCGGAACTTTGCCCCCAACCGCGGGGGAAAAAAACTTTTTGTGTCTGGGTTTTCACTTTAAAATATGGTAACTGTATATTATCAGATGTCTAAACACGGTGAACAACAGTGCACAAAATCTTTCTGCTTGAAAACAAAAGAAAATATGGAGTACAGTGGTACCTCGGGTTACAAACGCTTCAGGTTACAGACTCTGCTAACCCAGAAATAGTACCTCGGGTTAAGAACTTCGCTTCAGGATGAGAACAGAAATCGTGCAGTGGCGGCG